TATCTAGCATATTCTCTGACCATGGTGGAGGTAAACTTAATATTAATCTCAGGAAAAACCCTCAAAAATACACAAATACATGTCAACTAAATAACCTACTTCTGAATGAGTTCATGACTACTGAAGAGATTAAAACTGAAATCAAAAGATACATGGAAACAAATGATAAATGAGTACACAAGTTTCCATAATATACAGGACACTGCAAAAGCAGACATAAGAGTGAAGTTCATAGCAATTAGTGCACAGAAGAAAAAGATGGAAAGGTGACAAAAGGACAATCTAACATGCTTCAGGGAATTGTAAAAACAACAGAAAAATCCAAAAAAATGCCAGTAGAAAAGAAATAATAAAGATTCGAGCAGAAACAAATGAAATACAAAATAAGCGAAGTATACAGAAAATAAATGAGAGCAAAAGCTGATTCTTCGGAAAGATAAACAAGATTGACATGCCATTAACTAGACTAATTAAGAAGTGAGAAACAAACCAGATACATCAAATTCAAATGACTCAGGCAACATTACAACAGACACAATAGAAATACAAAACATCATTAGAGGATACTATGAGTGCTATATGCCAGCATAGAAGAAAACCAGGATGAGATGGACAAATTCCTGGACACGTATAATCTACCAAGATTGACTCAGGAGGACATAGGAAGCCTGAATAGACCTATAACAAGCAATTGGATTGAACCAGTAAAAAATAACCTCCCAACAAAGAAAAGTCCAGGTCCCAATGGTTTCACTGCTGAATTTTACAAAACTTTTAAAGAGGTAAACCAAATCTTACTCACTGTTTCTAGAGATCCAAAAGGAAGGAACCCTTCCAAATTCATTCTATGAAGGCTCCATTACCCTCATTCCCAAAATGGATAAAGATACAACAAGGGAAAACTACAGACCTGTATCTCTGATGAATATAGATGCAAAAATTCTCAACAAGATACTTACTAACCATATTAATCAACATATAAAAAGGTTATTCATCATGACCAGGTAAGCTTTATTACAGGGATGCAAAGGAATAATATAGTACTGGAAGTCCTAGCCAATGTGGTCAGACAAGACAAGGGAATAAAAGCCATTCCAGTAGGGAAACAAGAGCTAATACTATCTCTGTTTGCAGATGACTTGATTGTATAGGTAGAGGACCCGATAGCATCCACACACAAAAAAAATCCTTGAAGTAATAAATGCATACAGTAAAGTGGCAGAATACAAGATTAACTTACAAAAATCTATAGCATTTCTATTTGCAAACAAGTAGTCAGAGACAGAACTGAACAAAGTAATCGCACTTACCATAGCCACAAAAAGTATAAGATACCTAGGAATAAAACTAACCAAGGAAGTAAAAGACCTCTATAAGAAAAACTATGAAAACCTTAAAAAGAAAATCAAAAAGGATACAAAAAAGTGGAAGGCCATCCCATGTTCCTGGATTGGAAGAATTAGTATAATCAAAATGGCAATCTTACCCCAATTATCTACATATTTAATACAATCCTTATAAAATAACAAGAGACATTCTTCACAGATCTAGAAAAGACAATCATAGAATTTGTTTGGAATCATAAAAGACCCCATATTGCCAAAGTCACCCTGTGCAAGAAGAGTGGAGAGGGTGGCATCTCACTTCCTGACCCCAATATATTACAAAGCTGTGATAATCAAAACAGCATGGTATTGGCACAAAAACAGACATCAGGACCAATGGAACAGAGTAGAAACTCCAGAAATAAACCCCAAAACATACAGCCAAATCATCTTTGACAAAGGGTACCAGTCAATCCAGAAGGAAAAGGAAAACTTCTTTAGCAAATGGCGCTGGAAAAACTGGGCATTCACCTGAGTAAAGATGAATCTGAACCCCTACCTGTCACCATTAACAAAAGTAAACTCAAAGTGGATCAAAGATCTAAACCTAAGACCACAAACTATAAAACTACTGGTGGGAAACACCGCGGAAACTCTGGGAGACAATAGGGTAGGCAGACTTCTTAAGCAAGACCCCCAAAGCACAGGCAATAATCCCCAAAATAGACAGGTGAGGTTACATGAAATTAAGAAATTTCTGTACAGCAAAGGACACTGAAATTAGTTTGAATTGACAACCCTGGGAATGGGAGAGAATTTTTGCTAACTGTGCCTCAGATAAGGGACTGATAACCATAATACACAGGGAACTCAAGTGGCTTACCTGGAAGAAAATGATTAACTTAATTAAAAGATGGGAAAATGAGCTAAATGAACAACTCTCTAAGGAAGGCATATGAACAGAACAGCCAGAAAAACATATGAAAAAATGCTCAACAACCCTCATCATAAGGGAGAAGCAGAACAAAAACACAATGAGATACCACCTAACCCCAGTCAGAATGACAAAGATTAAAAAAAAAAAAAATGGAAAGGGATGGAGGGGACATGGGGAAAGGGGAACACTCATACACTGTTGGTAGGAATGTAAATTGGTCCAGCCACAGTGGAGAACCATATGGAAGTTCCTCAAAGACCTTCAAATAGAATTACTATATGATACAGAAATCCCACTCCTGGGTAACTACCCAAAGGATAGCAGAACGCTCAGTAGGAAAAGCGCTTGCACAGCTGTATTTATTGCAGCATTATTCTTGACTGCTAAGACATGGAACCAACCCAAATGTCTACGATGAATTTATTGAAAAAGTATGGCACATATACTCCATGGAATACTATTCAGCCATAAAAAAACAAGGTCCTAGAATTTGATAGAAAGTGGACGAATATGGAAGATTTGTCGCTGAGTGAAGCAAGTCAGGCTATGAAAGAGAGACATTGTATGTCTCCATGTAAGGTATACCGACTGCACTCTATGGTAGAGACTGAAAGTCAGGAGGACATAAAAGCATTAAAAATTGTTATGGACACTACCGACAAGGTGGAAGGAGAGTGTGGGAGGGGAAGAGTGTAGGAAAGGAAATTTGGGGAAAAAAAGAGAGGTAAGACATTTGTGGGACATGGATATGGTTTAGTAACTGTTGATGAAGCTGTTAATAGTATTCTAAAGTGGGCTGGACTGAGGTGTATATCATGCTGGGTAAAGTCTCTTTAAAATCTAAATGATGTACCACGACTGAATGTATAAATAGTAATAATAAAGAAAAAAAAATCACCTGGCAGTTATTTTTTATTACCCACCTGTGTTTGATCAACATGTTTATATTTGGTGATTTGATTAACAAATCACTGAGACTCATTTTATTCTCAATTTTATTGTGTTTCTATTGACACCATTAAGCTTTCTGGTATCTGGACATTCATGTAAGTTTTTAGACCTGGCTTCACTATCTTTTAGGTATGTGAGCAGAGAGAATACAGTTTCCTTGTGACTTACTTCCTTCGACTAGACATCTACTTAGATGTGGGCCTGAGATAAGACATTAATAAACTGATTTTCTGAACAGAGCCTGGTACACAGCAAGTGCTAGTGAGTTACTATTACTGTCCGGAAATACAAGAATGGAAAGGCAATTTAAATACTGTACTGCTCACCTCAAATATAGCATGTCTTGTTTTTAGCTACTTCATTTATGGTAAGATGATGAAAAGAAGAATGAATGCATCTTTGACTTTTACTGCGTGTAAAATTAATTAAACTTCAGTCTTTGTACTTTCTAAATTGAAAAAGGAACTAATTTTCTAGGTTAATTATCAGCTAATTAATGACACTGAAAATCACGTGTATCCTATCCTGCTACAGGTGGGAAAGAAGTGAAATGGAGAATATCCTCAGGAAAAGGAACAATCTATCAATATACTGCCATTTCTTCTCTACTGGCAAACTTGTGGGGTGGGGTTAGAGACTGACATCAGCATGATCAAAATAGCTGGCATAAATCAGGCAACAACCAATGAATTTTTGAGAAATGTCTAACAGTTGTGTGCTGTGTGGGCTTATGCAGCAACTTTCAGAAACATAAGCACTATAACTTTTCACCAGATCCTTGACGCTCTAGAACCAGGGATGCTTTTGACATTGTAACAAGCAAGAAACATTTCCCCCAAAATATGTTCATAGATGCAACATTTGGCAGAAAGTTCATAAATTCACCTTGAGGGCTTAAAGAAGTTTGACAATTACCATAAAAAAGGCAAAATGTCTCAGGCCTAGTTTGGGGGATTTTACTATTACTACCAACTACTACATCTTTCCCCTGGTCAAGCTGGCCAAATTTTTCTCAACCTGGAAATGTAAACATTTCTTTTGCAAACTTATGAGCTACACTTTCTTGAGTGGCCTAAGATATCAAAGGACTCTGCAGAAACACAAGACAACAGGTACACACATAAAATCTTAAGAAAGAGGATGGAGAAGGCCCCAGCCCAGACAATACTCTGAGAAGTACATTACGCTTTTAGAAAAGAAACCCGCCTTTGCAGAGAACTCCAATCATTAAGGCCTATGGTTTGTAAAGTAGCATCTTTAAGGTTGAGAGCATGAGGTGGGAGAGGACTGAAAGGACATTGATTCAACAGGTGAAAATCAAACTGTGAAGTTTGGTGACCAAAAAAAAAAAAAGAAGAAAAACAATACCTGGGGCAAGAACCTAGGGCAAGACAAAGAGGAAACAAAACACCAGGCTCAAACAGAAGCTCTAATATCGCGACTGGTCAATGACCACAATATTCTATGTCACTGACGAATTAGGCCAAACCAGAGCATTTCTTCTAAACAACGCAAGATAGTGGCCTCTGAGGAAGGGGCTGTGGCTCCACGACCCTAGGGTCTTCCTTGGACGGCTGGCACAGATTGTCCCTGGATGGACGTGCAGGGACCGACCACATGGTCTCTGCACCCTCCGAGCCCCAGGAGAATCGAGTATCAGGGCTCCTAGACCCGCACACCCAGGGCTGCCGCATAACCCTCCAGCTTTAGCCCGGGGCCACAACCCCTCAGCGACGCTAAGCCACGTATGGATAAACGCAATACGACCCGGTACCCCTAGTTCTTACCATAGTGAGGCCGCCGGTGCCCCAGCCACATCACCCTTCCGGGCCCAAGGCGGAAGAGGCGGGGACGGAACTACT